AGGTGGAAGATGAGATTTGCTGCTATGCATGTTTGCAGGTGTGCTGAGGTTATGCTGCTGCTGCTCTGAGTTGTGCTACAGTTGTGCTGGAGTTGATCTCTTTGTTGTGAGCAGGATGATGATCCTGTGTGTGTTTGGCTACTATTGTTATATGTTTGTGTGTGGGTTCTGCATAATGTGTGTGTTCCTGAGATTGGTAGGAGTGTGTGTTAGTAGAACTGTGTGTTTCTGCAGGTTGCTGGTATGTTGTGGTTGGCAGGTGTGCCATGATTGTTATGCATCCCTTCAGGGGGAGAATCATAGGATGTTGTACCAGATGTTGTGACATCTATAGTCTGAACTAGAAGGTGGTGTTTTGTGCTGTGGTATTTCAGGATGTCATAGTAGATGTCTGAACATTCTTAGTCCAGAATAGTCTGGATGTGTGTGTGTGATTGGTAGTGTAGTTGAATCTGTTTTGGTAGTACAACATGTATGTTGAGTGCGTGTATTAGCTAGTAGCTATCCTGCATGCTTAAGATGTGTTGTGAGCTTTTCTGCTGCATATGTTCTCTGATTTGGTGACAGATTGTTTTAGCCAAAAATTTGCCAAATGGGGAGTTTGTAGATGTTTTTGATTGGCTGCATTTTATAGTAAAACATGATTCTGCACTGATGTTAAGCAAGATGTTAAAACATCTCTATCTTCTGTGGTGACAGAACTGCTGTCATGTGTTTTAATCAAGATGTCAAGACAGATGTCGTGACATCCATCTGCTGTGGTGACAGAACTGCTGTCATGTGTTTTAACCAAGATGTCGAGCTGAATGTCATGACATCCTTGTCTGGTACAACAAAGGTCAAGACAGAACTGCTGTCATCAATATGTCGAGCTGAATGTCATGACATCCTTGTCCGGTACAGCAGGAGTTGCTATTTTATATCTCTTGACAGAGGTGTTTTGGTTTGATGAGATCCTGTTGGATATGTCTCATCAGTGTGTGCAGGTCAAAGAGATTTATTAGGAACAAAATGCAGATTTAATTGGTGTTCATAAAAAGGATCTTTGAGACTTTTTAGGAAACTGTAATAAATTTGTTTCTACTGTTATGAAGAAGATTCTGCAGGAGTGTACTACAGGGTAAGTTTGGATAGCTAAGAGAAAAGTATGTTGGATGTCATGCTGGATGTTATGACATTAAGCAGCTGACATCAGGCGCGTGCTTTAGGTTCTGGTATATTGCATGAGGAAGCTCATGCTATACTTCATGAAACATTTTAGGAACCTTAGTTATCTCAGGCGAGATTCTAGTCAGGGTTGGGCAGAACATGATATGGCTGAGACCTAATTCGTAACATCTGAATTAAGGAAATTGGTTTATTTTGGTTAAACCTAATATAAGTTCCTCAAGCCCAAGATCCATATGCTGCATATAAATAAAGAATTGGCAATCCTGATTGAGGATGACTAAGAGATTTTGAGTGAAGAGCTCTGTTTGTGTAATTTGTTCTTCACGTGTGTTTTAGGGTTTTGAGAGTCTTGTGTTTGTGACTTTGTAAGTCACCCTTTGTATCTTTTGATGCATCGTGGTAGACATATTTAGGCTGTTATTTGTAAAGTGTCAATTGTTCACTCAAAGCTTTTAAGCAAGAGTGTATTGTTCTTGATTGAAGCTGTTAAGCAAAATAAAGTATTGTGACTTTGAAGAGTGTCTTCTAAAGTCTTATTTTTGTATTGAATTGTTTATCACTGCTATGATTGAGGGGGAGTGAGAGGTGTCTCTTGTCTAGTGGGTTCTAGGCAGAAATTGCATTGGGTAGAGATTAAGTGAGGAGTTGTAAACTGGGAGTTTAGCTCTGAGTTAATTATTCTAATAATGGATTTCCTTCCTGGCTTGGTAGCTCCCAGATGTAGGTGATGTTGCACCGAACTGGATTAACAATTCATTGTGTTATTTATCTTTCAGCATTTACAATTCTGCACAACTTAAATGGTTAGATAAATAGTTCTGTCAGTCTGCTGATGTTACAACCGATGTCATGACATTGTTAATTCTTAAAGGAATTTAAAATGGTCATGTTCTGCCCTTGTTTTGTTTTAGCAGAGATCAATGTTCTTTGCATGTCTTACGAAATTTGAGATCTGCATACCAAAATTTCACTTTAAGACCCTTCTTTATGGTAAGGAAGGTACTATCACTTTGGATGAAGTCTAGACAGCGGTGAATTCCAAAGAATTTTCAAAGTCCAAAGATTTAAAGATTAAAGATAGTGGTGAAGGCTTAAACGTGTCAAGAGAAGGAGGTGAGCGTAAAGGGATGTCTAAATCAAAGAGGTCTGACAAGTCAAAGATAAAATATTTTAATTGTTAGAAAATCGATCACTTTAAAAGGGATTATCCTGAAATAAAGGTCAATGAAGATTCTGTTCAAGTTGTAGTTGCGTTGGGTGAGGAAAGTTATGAGGATGTCGAAGCACCAGTAGTATCGAGTTTAGAAACTGAAGATAGTTTGGTCATTGACTCAGGTTGCTCTTATCATATTTTTCCAAGAATAGAATACTTTGAAACTTTGAAGATGGTGCAAGATGGAGTAGTTCACCTTGGTAATAATAAGGCATGCAAGGTTCATGGCATTGGTACAGTCAGATTTAAAATGTTTAATAATCGTGAACTTCTTATTCACAATGTGAGGTATGTTACAGAACTCAAGCGAATTTTGTTATCTATAAGCATGTTTGATAATATAGGCTATTGTACTAGATTTGAACATGGAGTCTTGAAGATTTTGCATGATAAATTGATTATTGTTAAAGGGTCTAAAATATGTGGTCTATATATTTGAAAAGGTTCAAATGTTATTATTCATTCATCGTTAACTAGTGGAGGCTTTCATGACAAGGAAGAGCTATGCGGTTTGAGTTTAAGGCGTTATGAATTCCTTGAGAAAGTTTCACAGGAGTACAATGAATTTTGCAGAAATCAATGGATAAAATGTATGTTACCGCTGAGTTGTTGTTGAGTTTCTGGGCAAGATCTGAGGTTAAAATAACTTACTTGGTTGGTAGAGAATTTCTTCAGAAGAAGAATAGTGAAAACCAAGGGAAAAACCTGGGAGAAACTATAACAGAGAAAACTCAGTTTGAAATGGAGTTTCCTACTATGGATGCTAGTAGTAGTGAGGGAAGGGTTACAGAGATCTCTGATTATCATTTGAATAATGATACAGTAAGGAGGATTATTGTAGCATCTCAAAGGAACGGTTATGGTAACCTTGGATATCATATTTTTAATGTGGCTGAAGGACTGCAAAATAAAAGAAGAAAAACCTTCAGGGAGGCATTTCAAAATAGGTGGAGTCAAAGGTGGTTGAAAAATCATACTTGTAGGCTTGTTAAATTACCTAGGTAGAAAAGGGTAATTGGGAACAAGTGGATGCAAGTTGCGAGATCAAGATTCAAGGGTTGCTTGAATTTGATCAAAGTTATTAATTAAAGTTTCAACTTGGTAGAGAGCAACAATGTTGTTAATTGTTAAATTGGTTTCAACAAAGTTTAAAGTCAAGGTGGAGATTGTTGTAAATATGCCTTAAAACCATTGTTGATGAAGAGAAAGAAAATATATTTTGGAGAATGCATTTATCGCGAAAATCCAAAGTTTTAGAAAGTCGGACTAAAAGTCGGTCGGTGAATAGTGTCCTCCATACGGTAAATAGTATTGTCCGTACGGATGATAGTGACGCCCGTACGGTGAATAGTGTTGTCCATACGATGAATCGTGTTTTTCAGGATTTTTTCGATTCGGTCCATGTGATTTTAGGCTTTGTTTGTTGGGTATTTTCTATTATAAATATGTATCTCTTATATGCTTGGTGTGTGACAATCTTATAGTTTTTACTAATAAGGGAGACCAAGTGTTTAAAGGTATAACATAGGATTTCAGCTATGCACAAAGAAAACCTTGGATTACACCTTGGGTTTGAGTGATTCATATATTGAGAGTTTGAGAGGTAGGGAAACACTTGGATAGAAAATAAGGTTGTTCTTGGGCGCCTTCAGGGTTGTTATTGGGAACCTGAAAGCAAAAGTTATTTTCTTATAACTCATCTGTAATCTCTTGTAATAACTTTCTAAGTATAGTGAATTGGAGAACTGCTCTCTCCCCTAGAGTAGATCGTTTGATCGAACTGGATAAACAAACCTTCAGTTTTTTTCTTACCTTATTCTGTTATATTATCTGTGTATGGATTATTATTGCTGAAAACCATTTATTTTGGTAGCTATTGTTCTTTGCCTCACAAATTGATATTGAATTTTGTCATAATTCACAACAAGATTCACAACACATCTTATTTGCACGCACACACACACACACACACACACACACACACACACACACACACACACACACACACACACACACACACACACACACACACACACACACACACACACACACACACACACACACACACACACACACACACACACACACACACACACACACACACACACACACACACACACACACACACACACACACACACACACACACACACATACACACACACACACACACACACACACACACACACACACACACACACACACACACACACACACACACACACACACACACACACACACACACACACACACACACACACACACACACACACACACACACACACACACACACACACACACACACACACACACACACACACACACACACACACACACACACACACACACACACACACACACACACACACACACACACACACACACACACACACACACACACACACACACACACACACACACACACACACACACACACACACACACACACACACACACACACACACACACACACACACACACACACACACACACACACACACACACACACACACACACACACACACACATATATATATATATATATATATATATATATATATATGACATTTTCTTATGAATTATTTTTAAGAATGGATATATCTTCACTTAAGTCTCACATGATCATGGTGAATACTCAAGAGGTATTGTATTAGTTAATTTTTATAGTATTATTTAAATTTTATTAATACTCTTTGGTGATTTGTTTATAGATAACTATGTGTTTTTCTATCTATCATTTATTTTTATACTTTTATATGTACCTCTTATTAATATATCTATATTTTAAGTGTATTTTTGTGAATAAATTATTTATGGAGTAATGTTTTTAATACATCTTCTTTTCTTCACTTGCTTTTTTTTATGATCTTTAAAATTTAATTGTTGACTATATTGACTTGTTTGAAGTGAGAATTGATCTAACATTTCAATAAAATAGACTATTTATTGACTATATTGACTTGCTAAGATCTATCTTTTAAAAAACATGTGAGGCTATAAGTATTTTACAATAATCTAAATCATGGTTGAACACTAATTTTTAATTTAAAATAAAATCTATTAAATATTATTAGGGTGAGAAATTCAAACGCTTTACCCAACTTTTAAAAAATAGAGTATTATTTACCCTTTAATTCATCTTCACCCTCATCATGAAAATGAAATAGCCAAAAGAAAACATATACATATAGTTGAACTTGATTTCACACTCTTAATTCAAGCGTCTCTCTCTTATAAATTTTTAGAATTTGACTTTTTTACAAGATTGTATCTCATTAATTGACTTTTAAATATGTCATTAATCTCTAAAATTGGTTATACGAAACTCATGAATCACAATCCTTAATATACCATCCTCGAATGTTTTAATTGCTTCAATTTTCCATATCACCACATTTCTTTGAGATTATAGATATCTATCTATCAAATTATATATTTTAAATTACTTGTTACTATTGTTATATTAGTTTGTAATAATTATTTTTAGTTAATTGGTTAGGAAGTTAGAGATGGAAGTTAGGTTCTTAGAAGCCCAACCATCCTAACTTTCATACATTCAATAAAAATTAGAGATTTAACAGTTGAGTTGTGGAATTCACACATTTAACGAGAGTTTTTTTTCTCAATTTCATTCAAGTTCATTATGGTATTAGAAGACTGAGAAGTTGAGTTTTTCATCACCATGACCATTTTTGCAGCTTTTTCTATTCACATTCTTCCCCATCGTTCGTTCTTCTTAGTTCTCGTTGCATCCATTGCAATCAAAATTTACATTCCAATGGCAACAATAAGTATCCCAACAACCATATTTACCATAACTGCAACCGAAGTTACAGCCGTAAACACAATTTAAAAATCATAGTTGCAACATCTCTTGAATTACACACAAGTCGCATTAATGCTTTACCTGTCACGCTTCAGATCGATAAAATAAACCTGAAAAAGTTTACTTCATCAAAATCAATTAGAAATTCGGTTATCTAAATCTCTATCTATGAAGTATGTCAAAATCAAGATAAGAATTCAAATATTTTTTATTCTATAGGTAGTTCTTTAATCATAAAATTACTTACCCTCCTTTCTCTCTCTCTAAACGGAATTCTCAAAGAGTCTATAACTTAACATATATCAGACCTAGATCATATTAGATTTGCTTAAGATTCAATTAAACCAAAACATTTATTTAACATCTAAAAACTCTTGTCTTAACAGTGTATCTATTGAAAATAATATTATTTCTTTTATTACTCTTATCCTTTTAGCAATATGTTTACTATTGTTTTCCAACTATTATATTTCTTGTAAGTGCATATATTTTGATATTCAGGATGTGTTGGAGAAGATTGCAACATTTTCCCATAGTCTCTTGAAAAATGTAATTATTATATCAACAAATGGAAAAGTTTCTAAAGTAAGATTTTCTCAATCTTCATCATCGGATGAAATCATGACCTATGAGGTTTGTTCTACAATTCTAACTTACCTGTATTTCTGAAATATAAGTTAATAATTTTTTTAGTGTATATATATTTCATGTATCGTTATGTTTTTTTTTTAATGATTTTTTTTAATATTTACCCTGGAAAAAGTTTTCAGAAAAGTTATTTGACCACCGAAACACACATCTACACCTGCATTGCATATTGATACGGTGTCGGTATGTGATACAGTTTACATACACGGTGTCGGTATGTGATACAGTGTTATATACACGATGTCTAATTCAGGTGTTTGTATAACATGACTCAATAATATTGACATGCTTGTGTGATCAATTTTTTATTTTGTTAGGGACGATTTGAGATACTACCACTAAAAGGTTCTGCGTTTGTTGGCGCAAATGAAAGTGAGCAGAAAAGAGTTGGTAGAGTAAAAGGGTCCTTTATTTCATTATCAAATAGCCGTGTATTTGGTGGTAAAATTTCTAATGTTTTGATTGCTGCTACTCCAGTCCAGGTACACAATTTGATTTTATAAAATTTGTATATACTATTTGATTTTCAAAAAAAATTCTTATACTTCACTTTTAAGATAATATTATAAAATGATAATATGATATTGCAGATAATACTGGGGAGTTTCTTTTCAGAGGGTCGAGAAGTAGTATTGTCTTGTCCAAATGAGCCTCATGCAGAAGGCCCAAGCAACCCTCCGTCGGTGGTTCATCCATCAACGGGAGTATTGATATCTTAGTTTAAAACCATCTTATGTAATTCTTTTATTGTCATGTTAGTTTATTTGGATCTAAAGAACATAATTTGTTTGATAGACAAGTTGTATTTGGTTTGAAGCTATGCATTTTGTCTGCATAATACTTGATATTGTTTGGATCTAATGTGTTTTATGAAGTAATTACTATAAGATATTAGAAATTGATGTTTTGATTTGAATAATTAGTTACTGTCACATTGACTGTTGATTGTGAATGAGTAAGATGTGAATATTTAAGTAACCTAATTCGTATTTTGTGAGAAAATACGACATTTTCCCCATTTTAGAATGTTAATTTATTGTTACTCCCAAGTACTCATCCAAACTTTTCAACCATAAGTATTAAAGTTTTGATTAATTTGGTAGGAAAATAAGTTTTGATTATTTAATTAAGTATATTATGTATTAAAAATCTAATGTTTGAAATTTAAAGTATTAAAAATGAATAAGTGAAACGCCGCAAATTTGAATTCGTCCCCCAGTAGTTGGGTTTTCCTGCATAATTATTCTCTCTATTTTTACTATAAACAAAAAAAGAAAATTTTTAAGCTCATTGAATAAGTCATGTATCTAGTCTATATCTTGTTGGAATACATTAGTTATTTAATATAATTTATGATAATGCATTTCATTTTTTCTATTAGATATTTTTTTCTTTATTTTATATTATGTGCAAGTAAATTTTTATTTGTATTAAGTTTTTTACTTTGAAAATAAAATTTAGTCAATAAAAAAATTTAAAATGAAGTTTTTTTTTGTAAAATATGACTAAAGTGGATGGATCTATATTTTATTTATTTATTTATTACCATTTTGTAAATAAATCATTATAATTATATCATCATCTTATGAGACAACAAAATTTTATGAGGGGAAAGACTTCGACTCAACATCTTTTATCATCATCATAATTATATCATCATGTTATGAGAATTTTTTTCCGATAAAAGGGAGGCCAACAAGACAAAATTACATAGCAACAACCCTTCCCAAGAAAACACCCTCAAGATCCTCTCTAAACTCCTTAAAGGCAACTAAAGGACATTCGTCATACTATATCTATCCCCACTTTTTGCCAATATGTCAGCACATCGGTTAGTCTTGCGTCTAACGTTCTTGAGGACGAGTTCCTTAAACCTCCTTAAATCATGCTAGATCAAATTTACCAGATTACCCCTATACCATCTATTTTAACGCTTCTAGTGATGGTTTTTGCAAGCATGGTTACAATCAGTCTGGACATAAATTCTCATGTCAGCTTTGCACTTGATCATGCTTAACCCAATAAGAATCCCCCAGAGCTCAGCCTACAAGATATTGATTTTGCCCAACCTTTTGGCGAACCCCTTTATCCAATTGGCACTATAGTTCAGCAACTGCCAAATGAAAGGAACATGATAGAGAGGCATGGAAAAATTGTCATCATAGACTCGTTTATTGTGCCACAACCAAATGAAATGAGTGGTATTGGCCCAAAGAGCTTGCCATTGTACCTCATAATTCTTGCCGAGATTGGAGTTCATATTGAGGTGAAACCATCTTGCATAGAAGAATTGAAGAATTTCGCTTGCATGTAATTCTTCATAATATTGGTCAATATGTGTCTTATGATGTTGTAGTCCCTTAAAATACGGCAAAGGGATTTGAGTTTCTCGCTAAGGTCATTATAGTATGGGTCACTAAGATACCTACATGATAGGAATTACTTGGTCTTCAGCCCTACCCAATGAACCAGCCACCAAAAAACAGGAATGCGCTCAGGGAATTTCAAAATCCAGGATTTAAGCCTTCTGTCTTGCTGAGTATTGCTGCCGAACTCCACAAAAATGTGTACACAGTGTTGATTGTGAAGGTACCATTTTTTAGATCTTCCCCAAGTGCAAACATCTGAGCCTCACAGAAGAATAAGCATAACCTTCGCTAAGATATCAACATTGAACACCACCTGAAGCTTGCATAGTCCCAGTCCCCATCATCGATCCAAATTAAACACAGTGAGAGGGTGAGGATTCATCTTCTTGATGACATGATCCTGAAGAAGTAAACTTGGCTCCACCCAACTACTATCATGAACATACATCGAATCACGGTCGCAAATTTCCACAAATTCCCACTTCCAAAATCTTGAATCATAAATTGGGTTATATTGACAGTGAGGAATCCTATTCAGAATTCAAGATTTGTGTAGTAAAATATGGAGATCATAAAGGGTACATTGAGTATCGTGTGTGAAGGCTTTTATATATTGGATCATTTGGAATGAATTAACATTGGATTGAGTCTTGACTTTTCAGGCCAATTTATATAGAAGTAATATATAATTTATAAAAAATTAAAAATATAATAGAAGTAATCTTTAATTTATATACAGTAAATAAACAAACAAGAGTTAACAAAAAAAAGGAGAAAATACTATGAAAGAATGTCCCATAAAAAAAAATCTCTAGAGAGCCTATAAAAACAAATAAGGCCCATAAAAAAATCTCTAGAAAGCCCATAAAAACAAACTAGGCCCATAAAGATACATAAGATAAGACCAAAATCCTCCTAAACAAGAATATACTCATAAACTTGAGTATTATTCATTCTAACGGTTACATTATCTATAAAATTAGAGTATATAAGCTAATATTTATACTAAAGTGTACCTATTGAATAAAAAAAACATAAGTGCAGCCGAAAAGATAACATCAATTGTTGCTACCAAAATCATGTCGAGATCTGGATTAAGGAATGAGTGTGAATTTCCTCCTGGATTCGACAAACCATATGAATCTCCACCACAACCACACCTATTGGGTTCACAAATTACCATTCCTCCCAATCATTCTCCTCTTCCTCTTGAACATCCAAATTATCCACCTGAAATTATTAGCGACTTTGATGCGCTATTTTCTCCAACTTCTCCTTTGCCTTCCACCTCAACCAACACCCCTAAGAAGCGTAGAGGCCGGCCTTGCGGTTCTCGCAACAAAAATCCCCATATGAATATTGTTCATGGTAATCCCTTTCTTCTCTCTAATTAGATGATTTTATTTTTTACAAAATTTATATATGGTTTGAAAGTAATATTTGATTTGTATTAAGTTTTTACCTTAAAAAATGAATTTAGTCAAAAAAAAATAATTAAAAATGAAATCTTTGTAAAATATGACTAAAGTGGATGAATCTAAGTTTTATTTATTTATTTATTTGTTTATTTATTTATTTATTACCATATTGGTAAATAATTCTTTTTTTATATTTCATTTGTTCCATTTTTTATGCATTTTATTGAGTTTATGGGCAAGAGCTGAGGTTAAAATAACTTACTTGGTTGGTAGAGAATTTCTTCAGAAGAAGAATAGTGAAAATAGAGGGAAAAACCTGGGAGAAACTGTAACAGAGAAAACTCAGTTTAAGGTGGAGTTTCCTACTATGGATGCTAGCAGTAGTGAGGGAACAATTACATAGATCTCTGATTATCATGAAAACATGGAAAACATGGTTTCAACGTCTCCATCCTCCTTCATTCTGAGCAAATCATAAAGCTGAACTAGAAGGTTATCCTTAGCTTCATGGACTTGTTGATTCCCTTCATAAGTAGCACAAAGAGAATTGAAAATCATCTTTGAAGTAGATTTTTCAATGATTTTGATGTGCTCTGAATGAGGTAGAGCATCAACCAAAATGCCTCTAACTCTATGATGTTTTTTATAGACCTTTTCGGAGCTGATGCGAGAGATTTTCTATTAGACACCATTTCAACTCCATTGACTGGAATATCGATGCCATCATTTAGAATATCCCATAACTTATTAAGGCCTATGATATGAGTATACATCTTAATCTTCCACCATTCAAATTAAGTAGAGTCTCAACTGAAAGTCATATGACTAGTTGTATATTTGTTCTTTTCTTGATTGCACTAATCATAATTTATAGAAACATGGGGAGTAGGAGTGCAACTCTTAAGTTCAAAAACACCAGATATATTTCAATATATTTTCTTAGGATCTTTTCTGTACCACTGTTTTGGGTTAAGTACAGATCATCTTTGATGCTAACTGAAGGTGAGAAAAACACAAGAAGGGGATGGGTTGAATTGTGTTGACTTTTTCTTTCTTTTAAGACTATGAAGTTAGATTCTAAAGACAAGGTTGTAGAATCTAATTTAGATAGAGATATGCAGCAGATATAAACACAAAGTTATCCTAGTTCCTTTTACAACTCAAGAGTAATCTAGTCCCCTTGTACTTATAATATATTTTTACTATAATCACACAAGATTACAATTTTCTCAAGCACACAAGCAAGAGACTTCCTTTGCTCAAACACACAAGTAAGAGACTTCCTTGCCCTTGCACACAAGCTAGAGATTTCCTTGCTCAAACACACAAGTATGAGACTTCCTTGCTCTAGCACACAGGCTATAGAATTCCTTGCTCAAATACACAAGTGTGAGACTTCCTTGCTGTAGCACATAAGTTAGAGACTTCTTTGCTCAAACACTTTTAAGAGACTTCTTAAAATTTACCTAAAAGATAAATGATTGTAGGGAAAATAAACTTGATATAAAATTAAAGGTGTATAAAGAGTACGCAACACAATGGACTCTTAAAGACTTAAGGATTTCTAAGATATACAAAGAAAAGAAATCATAAGTTTAACTTGTGATTTTGCTTTGATAGAGTAAATTCTCTTTTTGTCAATTGTTGTTCATTAGTATGATCGACATTTTCCTTCAATTCTTTTAGCTCCTTAAATAGAGAACAAAAAATTTGTTGAAGATGTAGCACAGTAGAATCCTTTGAGAAGCTTCAAAAGAGACATTGGGATGTTTCACCAAATTGTCAGGTTAGATGAAACCTAGTTTGAAAAACATTTTCTACAAAAGGAATCAGAAGTTGTATTCCAGCAGACTCTATAATGAAGATAAAGCTTAGGTCTTCACGTGACAATGTATGTTTAGGGATGAACAATGACCTATCAGTGTCACCTTA